GTCTTTGAATATTAATTAAAATAACGTATTTAATATTTTTTTTCACGATCTTCTCTAGAATTTGTTTTAAAGGTCTTTCAATTTATTAGTTGAGGAAGATAAATTCCGGAAGATTTATATGTGAAACTATACTTAAGCTAAAAAAATTTCCGTTTAATTATTAATTATATTTTGAGAAAGTATACAAACCTCTTAGCTAGTAGAACTAATTTATTTAGGCCTTAAATTACAAATACAAATGTAGAAAATATTTTTAATTGGGACTTAAAGACAATTTTATTAGAAATTATGTAATATAGCTATATTGAAAATATACAAATATTATCTAATTATTTATATAATGAAGGTATTAAATATATACTTCACTAAAATATATAAAAATAATATCACATCTCAAAATAACCTTTCATCAAAATATATGCAAATTTATTATTCACGCCTCATATAAGATAAGTTGATTTCTGACATCCATAATCAAATAAAGGGCAAAATTCTGATTTACCTATCATAAAATAAGGGAGAAATGTTATTCCCATTATAATAGAATATAAATTACCCTTCTTATATCTAAAACTATAATATAAGACAGCTATGAAAAAATGAGAGATATTAAAGCTACCAGATGTTTTGGTTTAGTCAAGACATCCGACTTGAGACATTTTTATATTGTCCATACAGGACAGCAAAAATGCACTTTAACCGAGGTATGAGGTAAAAAAATTCTTTAGAGTTCCCGTTAGTCGGCATTGCTGTTCATTAACCATTGTCAAAGTGGGAGATGGATTTTAGGGGAGCAAAGAGAGGAAAAGAGAGGGAAGAAATATAAAAAGAAACAAAGATATGAAAAAAGAATTATAAAAAATATATAAGCGTTTATACTGACTTGACTGTTATAGATTTTCAACATACCTACATTTTAGCCACACTGGCCTCCGAATGTCAACATCGGTATTTATAAAAATTTTACCTTTTAAAATATTATGCCAGAAATATTTCTATAGTATTTCATATAATCCTTCTTTCCCAGCAGTGTTAAGGGGAATATAGCAATAAGACCTAGCTAATCTTGATAAAGAAATTTCATAATATCTAAAAATAATTGTCTTGATTAGCTGAATAAAAAATATTTTCGCCTATATTTTTTACCTTTTTATTTGCAATTTATAAAAAAAATTATTATTGCTAGATGAGAGCTTTGCATATCTTATTATCGAAGGCAAAATCTTATTATCGAAGACAAACTTTGTCATTTCGGAAAAATAAAACAGAGGGAAAAGAGATTAAATATATTTTATTTTGGGAAAAAGCCTTAAAAATATTAATTTATATAAAATTGAAAGTGACGATGCTAAAAGAAACAAATTTCAAAAATAATTAAATATATCAGAAACCTGCAAAAGTGCCATATGCCGGCTCGAATTTTTTTAAAAAAAATTTATCGACCAGGTATGGGTTTTATATTATCAAGGCCCGGTCCTAGGCCATATTTTTTTAAAATTTATATTACATTTAATTTTAATTTCTATAGGTAATAATGGTGATTTAAAATATATAGCCCGGCCCAGGTATTTGTTTAAAAAATTTCCTAGACCCGGCTTTATTAAAAAAAATATAATATGGGCCAGCCTGTGCACCCAGCCCTTTTGATTCTGATTCTTATCAAAACTAGAAAGACGTGATTTGGTTTAATAGAAAAAATTATTGTGAAATTAAAATACCGATAATCATTGTTTTTTGTAAAAATTAATTCCTTAACCTCAAATTTTTAGAAAATAATCTCATTATCGCACCTTTAAAAAATTTTCCGAAATTTATTGGCTCTCTGAAATATAAAACAGCCATATGTATTGCCCTACAAAACCTTCATCAAGCAAGATTAAATTATTAGGCTATAAATTACAAATGTATTAAAATGCATTTAAAAATATTTTTTAAATATTGTATATTAACATCAGTGGTCTGCATTACCAGGCCCAAGCCCTTATATATGGGAATTTTTTTGGGCCAGGCTTGAAAAAAGGTGGCCAGGCCAGACAATTTTAGTAAAAAAATTGAAACTGGCCTGGGCTGAGCAAAAATTTGGTTGGGCATTAACTAAATTCTCACTGGAACGGGCTTGAGAATTTTGACATTTGCCAGCCGCTCACATATATGTTTCAATTATTTGTTCATATTGAAGGTACACATATATACTTCATTAACATATTTTATAAAAATAATATTAAAAAATTTAAATATGCCATCATCAAAATAAAAATAAATTTCTGATCACACCTCATATGTAGGTTAATTTCTGATTCTCAAATAATAAAGGGGACATTTCTGATTACCCATCATCAAATAAAGGAGAAATTTATTATTTTCTATCAAACTTCAGAGGTTATCTATTTATATAAATATAATTTTTTATATTTAAAAAAAACTATTATAAGACCCCTCTATAAAAAAATAATAGATATTAAGGTTTTAAGATGCTTCAAATAAGTTGAGCCCAGTTCTTCATACTGGACAGCAAAAATGTGATTTGTTCTAATTTTTAAGGTAACAAAAAAAAATCAAAATTATATCATTAACTACTCATATTAAGATTGGGTATATAAAGAAATTTTTTTGAGATGTGAAATTTATATAAAAAAGATTTACAATCTTTTAAATAATATATGCTTAGTTGTGAGTATATATATTTGCTGGAACCTTCAGAAACTGATTTAAAAAATATCTTTGTAATGTGATAACCTCTTATATTTTGCTGATGGAGAGTAAAATATATCTCTAGTACTTAGAAAATAATGCATTATTGTATTAAAATAAAATAAAATATGTTAGCAAATTATATATTTTGTACCTTCAATTATACATATGTTAGTAATGGATATATCATAGTTTTTGTTCAATGTAAGCTTGAGATTATATATATTAGATAAACAATAAAATTGGACGAATATGAATAATTATCTAAACATTTCTAAAATAAATTTATATATATCTTATAACTTAATATTAGAAATATTACAAAAGAACGGCTTGTAAGTTTATATAAACTAATATTAGAATTCGTCGATATGCATAGTTTATCCTAAATCCATTTCAATAAAAAAAAACCACCGCTTTGGTTGTTTCAGATACCATAAGTATAATTATAAAAATGTGCAAGTTTGGGTATAAATATCATTTTAGCTATAAAAAAATATTATGTCCCAAAATGTCCTCGCTCCCTAAAAAATAATCATAAATAATATTAATTCTAAGTGTAGAGAACCAAAATAATTTTAAAAAAATTTAATGTCAAAGGCCTTCAAAAAGAGGGTTTAAAAGCGTTCAATAAAAATGACGAGGACCCTCCCCACTTTTAAAAATCTTAAATAAGTCTATCATATTAAATATACAATTGGGAATTGCTCCACAAATAATATTCCTCTTTATCCAATTTATGAATATTAAAGTCCAGTTCAAAATTGAAAGAGCAAACTGGGCCAAAGTTCTAAGCCGTGGGCGTGGGCTTTTAATTTATTAGTATAATACAAAAATTAGTGGTATACATTGATTATTATATCTATAATTATAAGTACTTAAGATCAGGTAAGGCGGGAACGTCGTATTTTTGAAAACCAGGTTGACACGGTTAGGTTTTGATAGTTATCAATATTTATTTATAAAAATAAATCCCGAAATATGTGTCAAATATATTATATTTTAAACGTCAACTTTATACTTCAAAGAAGGATTTTTCTAAACATTTAAGTATTGATTTTTTATATTCCCGTCATTATAAATATTTTTATGAATGTCCATTTATAATAATCCAAATGTATTACAATTTTATATTTAATTTACGATAATAACGCATCGGTTGGTGGTGGCGAGTAGTTGATTAAAAAAGATTTAACCAAAAATATATTAAATTATTACACTTACTTACTATGTATTACAATATAATATAACACATATTGAAGCAATTAAAACATATTACATAGTACAGTAATAGCATAATAAATGTATTAAACGCCTAAATTTATTTTGCGTAGTATAGCTATTATAGAATAGAACACTAATGCTACACCAAACACCACATCGTAATAGTTAGAATGTGGTTTATAATGTAATATAAAAATGAAAAAAAAGATTCATTATGTAATGTAAACAGCTTGATAATGTTTAAAAATTTAAAATTACAAGTATTTGATATGAATACCAAAATAAAAAATATATCTAAAAAAGGAATTTATATATTATAAAGGAATATATCCATCATCAATTTGTAAATAAGATTTAAAAATTAGGGTTAAACTAATCTCCCCGTTCAATTAACGCGTCTTTTATTTATTTTTATACATTTTATTCACCTCATAACGTAATAAAAAATTTTTTAAATATAATTATATAAAAACCATAAAATATGGTTGTCCTCATCTTATATTTATATACGATTTATTAGTCATTATTATTTTTTTAATGCCTGAGTGATTTTAGTTCGCCTTATCTATTTGTGTTTTAAAGCGAGGGTAAGGTGTAGCTAAAGAAAGGGGGCTAAGTGGAAAAATGCTTGTTGAAAACCTGTCTAGGAGGACGAAGCCTTGCCATTAGTATAATTAATTATCTTATCCTATATGAAAGAAATGTCATCTTATACAATATATTTTTTATTTGTTTATTTTATATTTAAAAAATGTCATAAATATTAAACCTTCTATTATTAATAAATTATTATCAAAGTAACCCAACTAGAAAATTTAAATTGAGGTTTTGATCTAGTAGTTGTGAATTTGTAATTGAATCAAGACATAAATTAGCTAAAATGACTGCCAAAAAATAATTAACCAAGTATCCCCCTACAACAGAAATTATAAGAAATTTGACTATGATAATAAAAGACAAAATTTGATTAAAAATTAAAACAGGTGGAAGGGTACTTTTACATTTAAGCAAAAAAATGTTTCAAAAACATTTTGATAAATTTCTAATAATATATGAATAAAAAATGCATTTTAAAAAGTCATTACCTAGCGGCGCGAATGAACACTAGAAGACTGTCGTCAGATATGGAATTAGGGTTCCAAACCATATCCGCCTGGTGTTCAAATGAAGAATAAATTAGGTGGTCGTTTTCTGGGTATTGCATAGCGTCGCAGTCGGCCTTAACCGCACATTCGTCTAACGGTGTTATGGAATTTGAACTTTGATCGATTTTATGGTGATGATAATCGATGTCAAAGGAGGAGGCGTCAAAATTAGTTTTCAAAGCGAGGACGGGGGACTTAGAGGAAGGTAATGATTCAGTAATCAGGTGATTAGGAAAGGAGTTATCGTTTTCTATTTCTAAATCCGCGTCAATATTATTCAATACCCCACCGGGGTATTCGCCTAGATATAGGGGAAGGGATGCCTAGAGTTAAAAAAAATCAATATAAATTTTATCTACATTTGTATTAAAAGGTTATTGATTTTGCATTTTAAAAAAGAAACATTTGAAAAAACTTGTATTAATGCCAAAGAAGATTTCATAAAAGGTTTTGTAAGACTGGTAAAGTTTTTTTGTTTTTAACTTATGAAAAATTTTCGGTAATTAACAATTTTTAATTAAGGTCTGTATCTGTTTATAAATAAAAAATCGAATAATTCAAAATCAAAAAATTTAAAATTATATATACGATTTATAAAACATGTAATATGGTTTTTGAGGTTTTAAATAAATAGATTAGGATTTGTATAAATGAATAATATAAACAGAAAAGTAATATATTATAGAGAGCGGTATTATTTTTGACAAAAAAAGATTAAGTAATAGAGTTTATAGATTATAAAAAAATTATGAAATGATAATATGTTAGTATAATATATTTGTTGTAAGAGGGGAAAATCGTTTTTGTATACTTTAGGCATAAAAAGAAAAGAACATGGTTTATATATATCCAATTTAAATTTTTACCGTTAACAGAGAGCTGCATAGTAGAGGTTGGCGACTCCAAAAATCTTTTCAGGCTGGCCGTACAAATGGCCGAAGTTTTGAAAAAATGTATTAATAAGGGCCAGGTCGGAAAACTTATAGAAAATATATTATACGTTTCAGGTATATAAAATTATGGAGCGAGGAAATTCGATAAGCTTAGATGAGTCAGTTTGGACCAACCTCAATTGTAGAAGTAATTTTTTTACACCCCGACTTGAATTAGAGGTAAAACTAGAAAGCAAAAAACGAGGAAAACATATAAAGCACGAAGGCCTGATCTCTGATAGTTTAACACTAAAATGGCTAATTTTTTATAGTATTTTGAAACGAGGAAATTATTGTAATTAGGCATTGCAAAGAATCCAAAGCGTCCATAAACCAGATACCATAGTGCCGGGTTTAGAAATTTCAGATAATTGAGACGTATAAAATTTGTGTTGTTAAACTGATCGATTTAGCCAATCACTAATTAAGATTTTAGCCAAATTAATATTAAGCAAGCCTCGAGATTTCGTTAATAAATGTCGAAAACTTTCTGCCAACTATGAGAAAAATCTACAGAGTTGTATAATATTTTTTGGTTAAAATAGTGATTAGCCGTTTTTAAAAATCGAGCCGTTTAACATTATATAAAATATTGGTAATAAACATCACATGAGGCATTTATATACCATGTATATATAAGAAATTAAAACGATATGATTAATAATACAATAAATTCAATGTTTATTATATAAAAATACCTATTAATTCTTGTGTCAATAAATATTTAAAAAAATTAATTAAATTATAAGTAGGGAACACAAATTTAACTAGCTGATGGGTAAATTAATATTAATTATAATAATTAGTCTGATTTGAAAAAAAACCTAATATTTTTTTATAAAACGATCAATATAAATCTGCATATGCTGTTATTGATAAAGATCATAAATATTTTATAAGTAGTTTAAAAAACTTTGAATATCGAATTTTTTTTAAAAAATGAGTTTCGAGTTGAGTGGGAAGATTTTTTTTATAATGTTAATAAATAAAGTGTAGATTATATTAAAAAAATTGCGTAAATTACATATATTTATAAAATTATAAATGGTGGAGTAGATTGAACCAAGTTATAATATCATTATGACTCTGATTCCAAACTATTACGTCGCTAGGGAAAAGATCAAAACTTACTCATAAATTAAACTCGATTTACTAAAACAAGCCTGAATTATAAGAGATGCCGACGCATAGCCAATTAAACAAAGAATTTTTGTTTTAAAAATTAATTATAGTCAAATACATTGATTACCTAAGTCCATATGTCATATTCTCAAATAAAACATATAAAAATAGAAATAATTTTTATGACGGAGGTAAATAGAAAAAGAATTATCATGTCTAAATTATACAAAATATAAAATTAATTACATAAATAGTAAAATAAATCTAAGGCTACAGAAGCAAGCATTAAATTTGTAAAATATTTTACGCCTTATATTATTTTATTTATGGGGAAAAGTATCTAATTCTTAAAAAAACTGTTTTAAATCAATTAATAATCTTATTAAAATGTCAGTAATCAAAACATTTTATGACATACACATGACTATGGCCAAAGTAGAAGCCGGCCCGAACCGGGTGGGTCTTTAATATTTTTTATGAAGAAAAAAGATTTGTTAAAACATTCCTGATTGTAAAACAGCTTATTTTGGATTTAATGCAGCATATTCATATAAAACGTAAATATAGATAATGGCTTATTCATTCTTTCGACTTTATATTTTACAGTGCGCCTGCGCATCGATTTAACTTAAATTTAAAACGAAATATTGTATTGTAGGTATAAAATTTATAATATAAGATGAGCTATTATATGTATGAAAGTGTAGTATGTATGCATACAATAGCTAGGAAATAACGCGAATAATTATGTATTTGTATTGTATGGATGATAATAATTGATGCGACAAATGACAATAGTGTAAAGTGTTTTTAATATAATATAATAAATGAAAGTGATTGATGAAAATGACAAAAGAAAGGTAATACAAAATATGAAATGAATTACCTTTTATCGTATGTATTAAATATTATAATTTTTTTAACATCAAGATATAAACGGATGAATGTAATAAAAATTTGTTTATAAACAAAATTAATTATCGTTAAACTTTCCAAAATCGTTATTATTGGAGAGTTTGGAAAAAATCAGTAATTGACTTTCCACAAATAAGCTAATTGATAAAAATTCATATGGACCAAGATCTCAGACAGATGAGAGACATTTAGGTTACTAATAATAAAAAATATATCATTTTTGTTTGAAATTATTTACAAAATGGCAATTTATGGAATTAAAATACTTCATTAAAATATTACAATAACAATCTACTAAAAATAATCACATAAAATGGTTCATTTTGGGAATGTTGTAAGAGTGGAAAATAAATACAATATTTTATAGAATTGTATATAAAATCTGCCAAAAGGTTTTGAGAGAGAACCAACGAGAATAATGTTGCCATTTTTTTAAAAAAGGCCACGATTCTTTGAAGATAGTGGCTAAGATTAAAAAAATGGAATAGAGAGGGGCTTTAACTATTTAGAATTGAAATCTGAAAAAAGCTTGGATGGGTGATAAAATACTGCATTTGAAGAGAATATTAATTTTAATCTGGATTGAGAAATCCGGTGCAGAGATTAAAAAAAATTTTTTAGCAACGATCTGTGAGACTAGTCAAGAGTAGAGAAAACTATGGTTTGTTTGGCAAGAACACTTTAATTTCCCTTGCAATAATTTTCTTGAATACAGTATATATAAATGAATATATATATTATAAGTGAATGTATATTTTAAAAAATAAGGCTAAAATTCCTAACATCCTAGAACCAACAAACCTCTCTTTACAAGATGGTCTCAGACCTGACGGTTTAACCTGCACCCCATGGTCCAGTGAGAAATCCCTAATTTAGGACGCAACCTGCGTCTCTTCCCCTCCCTCATCAATTAATTCAAACCTTCTTACTAGCGGGAAAAATAAAAAAATTTAAATACCCAATACTAAATAGTCATTTCAACTAATGGCAATTTCTCACAATCAACATATTTTTTTTTAAAAATTTTAGCACGTAAAATTTTTAACATTACAAACGAAAAACGCGAATCAATTTTTCTTAAACAAAACTCCAATTAGAAATTTTTAAACATAATTATACCTGTTTTTAGGAACATTTTTACTATAAGCTCTTTTTAGAGCCATCGATATTTTTAAAATATACATTCACTTTATATATTCATTTTTTATTTTTATACTTTGTTTACATGTTTTAAAGATAAATGAATAATAAAAAATTGATAAATTTAAAAAAAGAAGAAGTATATATAAATTATTTTGGCAATTAAAAAAATGAAAATCAAAATAATCTACGGTCAGCTCAACGCTTTTAATTAAAATCTGTGATTCCCACAGGTTAGCTGTTGATCCGTTGTTATTTATAACATATAAGAAGTTGATTACGTTATTAAGAAAAATATCGAATTGACTGATATAATGAAATTCATTGTTCGAGTTAAGTCGAACTAAATTTTAAAATGAATTCTTACAAATCCATCGGGCTATTTGGTCAGACCAGCATAATTTAACAATCTATATGGTACTATTATTAGCTATAAAAAGTGGGCCAGGCCAAATAATCCATTTTTAAAGCATAAAATAGAGGCATTTTCTGGATATATATAAGGATTGATTTAAATCTATGCATTTTCGGAAAATATATTAAATGCCAATTAGTCCATAGAATTGGCATCCATAACATAACTAAGGAGGGAACACGCTAGAAATGACTGATAAACGTTTATTGCTAATGAATACTTAAAAAAAAAGAATTTTCAAATCCACGATTTTTCAAAAAATTAGAATAATTTTGAGAAAAATAAGTTCTGGGACAAATTAATTAATGGAGAACATGCATTTTTATTACATTACATCTGTTTTTAATAAATAAACCATTGTTAAACGCAATAGTGAATTAACTAAAATGTATTTTATCATAATGTCATCACTCATCAATATATAATATTTGCCCATTTATGCTAAAAATTAATATATTGTATTATTTTAATTAAATTTTATTTTTATATAAGCAAAAATTAATATGTATATGCATCTGAATTAATCTAAGTATCACCAAATTATAGAATAAATATTTATAGAACAGGACAGATATAAAGATTTTTGATGTCCTTTTTAATCCTAACAATATTAAAATGATTTTTATAGGAGTCTATTATGCCAAAATAAAATTTCAGAATAAATCGTTTATAATAATAAAATATAACAATTAATTAAAACTTATATGTGAAATATAATAAAATGAGATATAAAAAAATGTTTTTTAAAAGAAATGATCTATGACAATTCTTATTCAAGTAAATCATAAATTTAAATCAA